AGATGAATAGAGAATTTTACGCACTATCGATTGGTATAAATTCTATTCTGATATTCATTTGATTTGGAAAATCAATTTAGAAAAAAAAAGAAAAAAAAAAGTAAAATTTTAGTACTTGTCAACCGTGATCTCATTCGCTGTTTTTTAACTATTGATTGAACCAAATTGATGATCGATGTCGAGCGAGTTCACTCTGCTCAATCAGCATCGAGAAAAGACAAACAGCTTTCAGCTTCGTCTTGTCCACAATGAAGACACATGTAGCGTTGAACAAAGAATAAACTGTTACTCTCATATACACTGATTAAATATGCTAGTACGAATGTGTCGACATAGGCGCAAACGAAACATAAACCTAAAGAAAACTCTGCTAGTTCCTCGAATATTTGGCATTTATTACTCGATGCATCGCACAACAAGTCTCATTTTTTCTGCCACAACTATACAAGAACTATGAATAGGGACTCATACTATTCTGCAGTCTCGTCGCGATTAAATGTCATTTCTTCGTCTAACACTATCTGAATCCACTGTGTTCAGGTGATGTATCTGGCAGAAACGTCTTCTATTCACGTGTTTTACGACAAGATTCAAGCACACATGTGTCAGTTTCATATAATTCAGTATTTATATATTCAGTGTATAAACAGTATGATAGGGACGTCAAAAAGTGGTTAGCAGTTGATTCCATAAAATATAGATGACGCCTAATCAGCACTCAAGAATATTTTATTTATATGTAGAAAAACAGTAGTTCATAATTAGAAAGCTAATATTCACTTTTTGGGTTCAATACCCGTACTGACACCGAATGTCGTAGTCGCGTCGACGGATGAATTGGGCATGCTGGCCGTAACATCGTTGCAGTTGTGCGAGAACACGTTGTAGCCCTCGCCTTTTCCCATCATTCCACCCACCGATGAGTCGGGCTTATAAGCTTCCCCGACGGAATTCCAATTCGACGACATGTTCGAAGCATCAGTAATCACCGTTGGATTGCTGCCTGGTGCCGCGAAACCACTTCCATGGTGAATTAAGTACTCGTTTCCGCTCTCTGTTGTGACCTTTGTGCCAGAGTGACTACCCACCGGTAAACCGCTACCACTGGATGACTCACCCATATCACGTGAGACTGGCTGTGCAGCAACGACGTTCTCATTAAATAACTTGTTCATGCTTGAATCTCGAAGAAGAGTGAATGAAGAAAACCAAGTGACGATATGACAGGTTGTTCGTCTTTATACTGCTTGTGATTCAAAATGTGTTGTGTGTCATGAGCAAACAATGACGTCGTTGCAAGTAAAATAATTTTTTCTTTCCAACTTACACGATTTTATGGTTGGTTTTTCCCTTTTCGAAACAAATGTTGCTGGTTTCGGTGTATGACTGATTTGTTCCAAATCTAGCATTATGGTACAAAGGGTAATTCTATGAACTTCAGTAGATGACACGGAAAAGTAAAAGCCAATATGAGCACGATGGCGTTTACTCCAAATTATCGTACGACAACTTTCAAGTACTGCTTCAGATTTTCCTTTTTTTTAAATAGTTTTTTTACTTAACAGTTTAGCAAACAACTGTCTTAAGTCTTAATTCTAGACATGAAATTTGTTTTTAAACCAAAAAAGTGATGTATCGAAAACATTTCTGTTATTCTGTAGGACTTGAAAGTTGTCGTGCGATAATTCGGACGGTGTTAGGGAAATCTAGCGCTGTTATTGAATCAGACGTTTGCAGTGCAATCGTCGTGGCACAATCAATGCCACAAGTTCATGACAAAAGCTCTGTGTCGCTTGGGTGTTGATGAAAAAAATCCATCCCTGTAGGGCTTAACCGAAACGGCCGACACTGGTCTCAAATATCCTAGAGACCACAGAATAGCTGTTAATATTCTGATTTGCTCAAGATGTTTGTGCCACTTAAACTTTTTGTCAGATATCATCCCTAAATAATTAATGGAATCCGATGGTAGTATTCGGCTGTCTCTATAGATTAAATGACAATTCTGACTTTTCAATTAAAATCGGTTAGATGTGTTTTATCATTTGGATCACGAATTTTATTTTTCTTAATATAATGTCAATTATATTGATGAATGACCTTAATCTCATTACATTATATCGACTTTTGTTTGCTGACACAGTAACGGTCAGGCCATCAGCATAACCAAATAGTATGATGTTATTCAACGAAGTTTTAGAAATCGATCTAATGTAAATATTAAATAGGACTGGTGATAATAAGCTTCCTAGTGGAATCCCGAAACTTGACAGTTTAAATTTTGATGTAATGTCATTTTCAATTGAAATTTAAGCTTGTCGTGGCTCGCAAAATGATTTAATAAAATTGACGAAAGTCGACGATACGTCCGAATCTTTTAGTTTATATTAGGCCTGTGACAGTTCATAGTTTCTTGTACTGCAGTTTCTCGATAACGGGAACTGTTTTTCAATTGCCGTTCAATAAACGGAAACGATTTTTCAATTTCCGTTCTGAACTAGGAACGGTTCAGCAGTTCACGTTTCTAGGAACTAGGAACGGTTTACCAGTTCTGGTTTCGCGAGCGGGAACTACAGTTCTTTTTGAACTGGAAACTGTTCAGTGTCCTTTTGTGATTTGTTGATATATTATGTATTTCATTTCGCAAACGTAAGATTTTGAACTGGACTACAGTTCTTTTTGAACTGGACTACAGTTCTTTTTGAACTGGAAACCGTATAAAATATTTGAGCTTCTTTTTCTAATCTATTAGCGTTCAATTTCCTTTAGCATGTTAGTGCATTTTACGGTTAAATATGAATACGACGGTTTATTTGATGTCGTTACTTTACGTGCTTGTTTCTAAGAAAAATTTCACAGAAATACTCACAATCAAAATAATAAAAGCTACCAACATTCATACTTTGTCTTTCAAAAACATAGACATTCTTGTTGTTGTTGAAGTTAGTGATAGTCGATTTTTTCTTGTAAAATTATTAGCTTGCGAAAATGTACTTTCGCTAGCTACACTTGCAGCTGGTATTGCTAGATACTGTTTAACCAAGGTTGATAATAATGGTAGCTCGCGACTATATTCTAACCAAAATAACGATAAATCAGAATTCATTTTAGATATTATCGAGTACAGAGAAATTTCTTGTTTAATAGTCGTCCTTGTTAAAAGTGAAGCTGGTGTTACTTTTCGTGTTGGTGTTAATAACATGCCACATTATTCCAAATATGATCCGAATTTGGAAGTGTGACTAATTGGTGCTTTGTGTTCATTAGAGGATGAAGAAGGAGTTGACAATGCCATTGACGTTACTTCATTAATTATCAGTTCTTTGGCTACGGATATTTCGTCAGCTGTCATACCAATATTCGTTTCTGGGTTCAGACATGCTGCTATCTACGGTAAAACATATAAATGTAGTGTCATTACGCGATCGTTTATTCAGAGTCAACGTGAGGAACAGAGGAACGTGCAGGATACAGTTGGAGATGACGATTCAGCTATTTAATACCCGTCTTTGTTTATTTCAAAGGTATCCTAGCAGTTTCGCAGAGCATTGGCGCTGTCTGTGAAGAGAGTGCTCTAGATGAATGGTTGTTTGCAGATCCTCGTAGTTGGGTTGAAATTCAGAGTATGATAGATGGTCTTTCAGATTATTTGACTCTTGTGAAAATTGATTTTTGGAGCATAGTAATTGCTGCTGATTCGGGTTTGTTTTTGAATCGAACTTGAGATGAAGCAATCTGATGAGAGTCGTAGCATGGCCGAAATTGGTCATTGCAGCCGTTCCGTCCCTTTACTTGAGATTGAAGTGCCATCTAAGGACTACATCTTCACGATTTCGATCTGAATAGATTGTGCCTACTGACTAATCAATATTCTATGTTCATGTTGACTGCTGTTGAAACTTTCTTGATGCTCATTACTGGTTCATGTAGTAATGGTTCTAAACATACCTGATGAAGACGTCTAGCCCAAGTCGAAACATGTCATATGACTGCTTTGAATCATTCTCTTCTGTAAACTTCCGCACTGTTTACAGAATTCATCTTTGATGAGTTTGAACTTCCAGTTTGAGCTTTTCAACTGATTTTGAATTGAGTCTTTGTGATTTTTTGAAATCATATTGATCGAAGCTATCTGATGATCGTCTGGGCCGACGTGAAATCTAGATTATGGTAGCTCTACTCACCCCCTCCTTTGTTGAGTGATAGGAAGTTTCAAGTTAAACATTCATTCTCAATTGTTTCCATTTTAGATTTATGAATTTTTTTGTTCATCTAGAGCTTCACACTACCCCCTGATAAGGTCTCTTTCCTGGAGACGAATAGCTGCGACTACCTAAAAGAGAGCTTTTTTCTACTTTCCTGTCCGGACTTTCAGCTATATTTTTTCAACATTGCTCAAATGTGTTTGAAAAATTAGTATTTACTAATTTGTTAAAATTGAGTTTAAACTCAATTTTTATAGGTTTTCGCCTATGTCCAATCCAATGGTGGCGTCATGCATTATTAGTTCTCGCTCTCTTGCACTCACTCCTCTCAATGCATGCTTTTGGTTTTTTATCTTATCTAACTCAGCATTC